AAAAATTTTGTGCATCAGAAAACTTCATTATAAATGAAAATTCGTTTTATCCAGGTTTCGTTATATCCAGGTTCACTATGTGCATTAATGATATCCAGATAGTAACACGAGGAGGTTAGTTCCAAATTTGCGATCCAAAAAAATAATATTATATATATACCCCTATATCCAAAAATCCTTTGTGCCGAAATAACCAAAGCAATACGATGGATTGATTCATTCCATAAAATGATATGAAGTCTCTCCGGACCAATTGTATATACCCCCATGATATCCAACCTCATGACTGGAGTGATTATTCAGAATAAAAATTATCCTTTGTGTTGAAATAACCAAAGCAGTACGATGTTCACTAATTGATTTGTCAGAGAACAAAGGACTCATTTTAGGTCTGATAAGTCGGACCGATAACTAAGAAAAGTTATCACGATTGCTTTCTCAAGATAATCGATTAAGGATTTATATCATCAAATATCCTGAAAACGTCACCAATAAATCTTTGTTGAAGCTTTAATTGATGAATGTGGAATCCCAATAAAAACCACATAATATTCCTCCAAAAAAAAGAGTATCTTCTTTGGAATAAAAAAATCAAAATTATTATGGAACCACAAATCAAAAGAATTGATGATATTATTTGCTTTATCAAAATAAAATATTAGTTTGAATTCTAATTGAAAATAACAATACTTTGAACATAGTTTAAACTCCTCCATCTTTAATACTCATACACATCCCTACCATACAGGGGGAGGAAAGAAATATTGGACATTTCGCGCGTTTTTAAATTCATTTATATCATTGGATCTTGTGTTTTTTTGACAATTATTTTATAATAAATTATTTACATATAGTGATGACAAATCTCATCTTTGTATAATGCATCCAGGAGTTATAAAGCTATGCACAATTTCCTCTCAAAAAATCACCCTTTAAATTTTGCCGCATAATGGGCCATGGAAAAGAATTAACAGAAAGTCAGAAAGGTGGAATTATTATTGCAAAAAAACTTGGCCACACACATACCAAGATCTCTAAGGCTGTAGGTTGTTCTGTGATCCACATGTTAGAAGCATACAAGCTTAAAAAATCATTAAAAAATGGTCAGATCATCTATTAATTCATAATAAATCTGCATGCAACCATCTCAAGGCTTCAGTAATCCAAAACAAAAATTCTTGCTGTCAGACTCTTTCCCAGGTCATATAAAGCGTTAGAATCATTATATAAATATCTGAATCATTCTGTAACTAGATAAATATCAGAACCTTCTATAAATAAATAATAAAAAAATCATCCAATATTTCTTCACTCCACCCCCTTCCCTGTAGATAATTTGATTGTTTTTACATAATTTTTTAAGCTCATGTGCTTCTAACATATGGATCACAGAACAATCTACAGCCTTAGAGATCTTGGTATATGTGGCCAACTTTTTTTGCAATAATAATTCCATATTTCTGAATTTCTTTTAATTCTTTTCCATGGCAATTTATGTGGCAAAATTTAGAGAGTGATTTTTTGAGAGGAAATTGCACATAGCTTTATAACTCCCAGATGCATTATACAAAGATGAGATTTGTTTTGGTTATAGACCACTATATGTAAATAATTTATTATAAAATAATTGTCAAAAATATACAAGATCCAATAATATAAATCAATTTAAAAACACGCAAAACATCCAATATTTCTTTCTCTCGCCCCCCCCCCCTGTATATTACAAGAAATAACAAAATAAAAGTATCATTTTGAAATCCAATAGCTCAAAATCCGATACTCCAATTTAAATGCAAATACTCCATTGAATTTGTAAAATCAAGACAAATTCAATGGAATATTTTCATCATTGGATTTTGAGCTATTGGATTTCAAAATGATACTTTCATTTTGTTATTTCCGGGAATATATTGTAGGGATGTGTATATCCATTATCTCGATACAATAAAGAAATGATATACCTAGCTTATAAACGCGTCAAATTGGAAATCCAAAAAGATATTAGATGTATATAGAAATAGAAAATTTGAAAAGAATACTAATCAACGAGCCGTTAGGATTAAAATAATCCTAGAGCCGATGTCTTCCTCAGAAAGATTAGGGGTCCGTTACATGTTTATAAAATCCTAGCCATGGTTACGGATCCTGTGATTTTTAAAGGTGTAAACCAACCAAATCGCAAGATCAATATGTAATGGTAATGGAAATGAATTGTGTATCAAGAAATCCAAGTCGGTTAGATCAATTAATGTGTTAACTGCCACATGATTTGACTAGCCACATCCCATTCCCGGTATAAAAAGCCATTTTTAATGCAACAATTAAATCTTCATCTTTTAGCTCGACTTTATAGACTTTCGCTAAACGTTCCATTTCCAATTACTTCTTTATCGAAAAACTCATTAAAGTCAAAAAATTTTTTATCTGTCCTTCTGATTTAGCCTATTCCATCCAGTACACAATGAGGATGACATTTTTTCATTGACGTTATTTGCTATTGCGCTGACATTTTTATATGTACATTGTTACTCGTGAAATTTCCTTTTACAGGGACATATTTTCTGTTGCACATGTACATGTAATAAGTTTTTGAATGGCTAAATTCAGTTCAGTTCCTGATTCTAAGAAAAATTGAACTGGATCTAAATAATTCCATCCTGTTCAGATTCCAGTCTTATACGGTGGCTCACAGAAGAAATACAACATGAAAAATTTTGCGAAAAAAATTCTAGTGACTCCAATATCGATTTAATATACCCGGTTTCTATACTCATTTTAAAGTTAATAACTAGAGAATGTCTAAAAAAAGCTTAAAAATATATTTATACTGCCATTTTAAAAAAATCGAGTAATCTACATGAAAATTTTAATCAGTGAAATTTTAACTCCAAATAATATTGCTTTCAGATAAGATTGAAGCGGATTTTTATCTAATAAAAAATGTGCATCCTAATGAGAACTATCTACATATCAATTTTCAGCTAAATTGGTATCAAAATTTTTTTAATTATTTGATCTCGAAGCATCAGATGAATGCTAATGAAAAAATTGTTGGATCATTCTACTAGCATTCATCTGGTGCTTCAGGATCAAATAACTGAACGAATTTGACACCAATTTAGCCGAAAATCAGTATGTAGATAGTTTTCACATTTTTAATTAGATCCATCTATTTCAATCCATCCTGAGAACAAAACTATTTGGAGTTAAGATTTCAAAAAATATTCATATAGATCATTTTATTTCTTTAGAATGGCAGCAGCATTAATATTTTAGACTTTTTTAGACATTTTCTAAGTTATAGATTTGAAATGAGTATAGAATCAGATATATTAAATTGATGTAGAAGTTACTAGCATTTTTTAGTAAAAATTTTTGTATTGCATTTCTTTTGTGAGGCACTGTAAAATGAAGAACTGAACTGGAACTGGATTGAATTAAATTATTAGATCCAGTTCTGAATTGAACCATTGGATTCTTAATTAGTAATGCGTATAATGTTATATACACATGAATAAGATGATGTTCTGAATGTGTTGAGCTGTCAAGCCCCATTTTAATACATCACTTTGGAAAGAAATGATCTGATAGAAGAGGTATTAATGAACACTAACTAATGAATCAAAGTAAGAATAATTCATTAGCCTATACGTGATGGACTGGATCTTATGGAGGTGAATTACAATATAAAAGCAACTCTTTGTGAAATAGAGTAGAGAAGTTTATAGAGAGATAATAAAAGTATTAACATTGTAAAATATAATCGAAATATTGTGATTGAGAATTACCTTCTAAGGTAGGGGGACCAGCAGCTCCAAAGGAAGAAATCGGTCATGTAACTCGATAGAGATTTGATTAGTAATTGACAAAATAATGGACACGTTAGTCATGGTCAGATTTTCGTCTGATTGGCTAATGTAAACCAATTATCCGGATAACTTATTTATACACTTTAGAGTACTTTTTAAGATTGCAACATTTCACTAATAAAAAATTGCCACAAAGGCTATTTTTCATTTTAAATGAACGTCAATATTTACTGAAAAAATAATCTCAAAATAATCTGTAATTTGACTGACTTTGCTTAGAAGATAAAAATGCCATTAACAGGTCCATGCGTGATTGTCATATGCAAAAAAAATCGACTAATTGGAAAGCAGTAACTGGAAACTTAATTGAAAAAGGACAAACTAACAATACTTTACCTTCTTATCTTCAAGTAGGCAATACAATTTGCCTGGATTATTATAACGGGATCATGACCAATAGATCAGCTAAGTTTCAAGAACATGCAAGATGACCTGAAACTGATGAGCCAGAAGTTATTAATCTGAAACTAATAAGGCTAATAAATCTTATGATTCTTATTTGTCTTTTTCTAAAGCAATAGAAATACTAACAAAAATTTTATTTGATTGTGAGAATAAAGAGAAAAAATCATCAACATATTTATTTAATGAATTTTGAATAATCATGGAAAAGAATGACACAAGATTAAAAAATTTTTTTAATGAGTTATACCTTTCATCAAACCTGCAATCAAAAAATAAAGAAACAAAAATATGAGCAAAAAAGCAAACTTCTGTTTATATATTATTTTCTTTGTGAAATAAGAAATAAATATGTGAATAATGCTAAAAGAGGTTTGTCTTTATATTTAGATTCAACTGATGTTTCTGATACTACTATAGATATACTTGCAGAATTGGATATAGCCATTACATCTTGTTCAATTACGCAGTATAAGGTCAATATATCTGAAAAACGTGCTGAAGTTATTGATTCAGCACTTGCTGGATATATAGAAAAAGCAATAGTATTGAATATAGATGATTATTATAGTATTCATATCTCATAGATATTCAATACAACCATTATATTTACAGCAGCACATTTGGTCATAATATTAATAAATACAATTACTAATCAGACAGCTATTCCTCAAGAAAATATACAACTCTTTATTAGTTAATGCTAATTTAATTGAATTTAATATAAGTAATCAATTTATAAAATCTAATAGTCTTTTATATAATCAATATTAGAAGTTTTATATAGTTAATAATGGTATAAGATTAGAAGAATTAACTATGCATAGTTATGATATTCAACTAGAAGTGAAGTATTATAGTTATTCAATAAAGAATATTTTTCTTATAGATTTATTAAGAGAATTAATTCCATATAATGAATGAATATATCAAAGCTATTAATATTATTATAAGTATCTTATCTATATGATAATATATTGAAAAAGGATATATAATTCCTCTTATTGCTAACTAACCTGGACAAATTTATCTTAAAATAATAATATTATACTATTTAATTTATAAAGATTTATTAAATATTACTAATAATATTTTATCTCTTCTTCTAATTAT